TTCTCCACCCGCCGCCATATTGGAACACGTTTACTCCCAAAAAGTTGGAGAGTATACTCGCGCCACTCGGGTCCGACACTCGAGTCATACTCCCGGTGTTTTATTTGCGGAGAGTAAGACACGTGTGACACGGGTTCCCAAATCGAACGTACCCTCTAGGTCGTCAAAATACATCCGGCGACGTCACTTCCGGTCAAACCGGAAGTAGAATGAAAATGCATATTTTTGCCTTTCTTGACATATTTTTGGTTAACACATGTCACTGGAAGCATAAAAACTTAATTTTCCGTCGTCGACACCACTTCCGGTCAAACTGGAAGTAGCCCAAAATAGCTTATTTTTTAAGGTTTTGACGCAAAATTGAAATTATAAAGTCAATGGAGATAACTTAGCTCGTTGTTTTCTTTTGTTGACGTCACTTCCGGTCAAAACGGGACGGAAGACCTACTCGTTGCTTTGCAACGAGCTTTGCTCTAGTTATTATTATTATTTTTCTTCCTGGGAAAATTTTGTCCGCGAGTGATCTTGTAAACTACACATCTGACTTAGGTGAAACCTTTTTAGGGTAAGTAGGCATGTTATGTAGATTTGCGGAATCAAGGTCATTTTGCGCGCACGTGCTTGCACGAGCGCGCACGTGCAAAACTTAAAATGACCAATATATAATGGATATAACCGTAACTTTTCTATTTTGTGACGAAATGTTTTGAAACTTATAATGTAAGGATATATTAGTAGTATGCACAAGATGACACGGTCAAAATAGCAAGATCGCACGCTCATGCACGTGCGCTTCGCTCTGATTGGCTGAAACTAAAGTCTCAATATCTTTTTTGTCTTTTGATAAAATCATTTGAAATTTTGAACATAGTCATACATTAGGGAGATCTACAGCCTGTAATATAAGATTTATCATGAAAGCATGTGCATGCACATGTGCTTGCAAGAGCTCGCACGTGCAACGCGAGAAATGTCCAATATAATTGATACAGACGTAACTATTTAAATTATTGTTGAAATGCTTTGAAACTCATATTATAAGTATATATTAGAAGCATAGACAAAATGACATGGTCAAAAAAGTAAGATCTCACGCGCATGCACGTGTGCTTCGCTCTGATTGGCTGAAATTAAATTCTCAATATCTTTCTTGTTTCTTGTCATAATCCTTTGAAATTTTGAACACAGACTCATATTATGAAGATCTACAGCAAGATATATAAGAATTTTCATGAAAGCATGTGCATGCCCGCTTGCTGCAATCTGATTGGCTGAAACATTAAATGGCGATATCTCCTTTGTTTTTTGACGAAATGCTTTGAAATTTAAAACATAGTCATGCATTAGGATATCCTACAATATGATAAAGAAAAAAATCATGAAATCACACGCATGCACGTGTGCTGCAATCTGATTGGCTTAAACTTGAAATGGCTATAACTCCCTTGTTTTTCAACCAAAGAGGATGGGATTTAGAATATAGATAGATATTAGGGACTGCTGCAAGAAGGTATGGTCATCATGCACGTGCACGCACGTGCGTGCATTTGGAACGAGTGAAATGAAAAATACACTTGAAAGAGTGATTTTTCTTACTTTTTGACTGAATGCTTTAATATATTGTATATTAAAATTTGTAGATAGTGTAGACAAGATGATGTGATCATAACGCACATACATTCATATGCGCACGGGTGCAATGCTAAAATTTGAGTATAATTGGTATTCTTCTGATAAAACGTTGTTAAAGTTAAAAATGCACAGAGTTTGTCTTATTTAATGAAGCTTACAGGGAATATGGCACCAAAAAGGAGTTGGGGAGCGTTTGGGGAACATCTGTAACGGTCCCCGTTACAATTAGCACTAGTTATATACAAAATAGCAAAATGTTCAAGTTTTGTTGGCCTTTCTTTGGTTAGTTTACTTAAAAAATTAGACGGGAGCATGAGACTTTTTGAAGCTGAGTAAGCACGTATAGTAATTGTTACATTTGAAAGTATTTTAGTCGCCTGTAACTGTAATATATTTGAAGAATATTTCATTTTTTTTATTCCTGTGGTTAATTAAGGTAAGTTAACCATTTCATGTAGATGTGAACAAGTTTTTATTACTAAGTAACTCTATATCCTGCATATAGACTTCCAAAAACCTAAAATTGTGTTCATCCTTTTTAAAAGTATAAAATATTTTTTATATATTCTGAAGATTTCAGTTATTTGAAATGACGTAAAAAAACGAAAAATTTGTCAGGCATGATTGATCAATTATTACTTGTTAAGTCTATAAAGCTTGAACCTAAGTTTTTTATCCCTGCAAAACTGTAAAAACAAAATAAAAAAAACCACACATTCAATAACTATTTTGATCAAATGATTACAGTCTTTACGTTACTTAATATTTAGATAACAAAGGAATTGTCTATAATTAAAGACTGAAAACCTAGTTTTAACCTGTTTTTCTTGAAAAAGAAATTCAATTAAATCTAATTTTAAAATTTTTATCTTTTATTTCAGTCCGTTTCTTGCTCAGTCAAATCACCACGGTCAAAAAGGTTGCGATTGGCTTTAGTGAGGTGAGAAAAATGATTCGGGCAAAGCATCACGCAAAACAAGCGGATAAAACTGTGATTCCAGACAATGGAGAATTGTAATTTAATAAGTAAAGGAAATAATTAGCCGTTAGCGTGTTCATTGTTCAGTTACATAATGATTTTAAAAATTGTCTACCTAATGAAGTACATCATCATCGCGGAGATAATGGTGAAGAATCACAAACCTGTAATTAGAACCGAGTTATGTAACTCCTAGTTTGGTTGAATACTCGAATTTATAATAAGATTATCACATCAGAGACAACTTTTCTATATATGTTAGGAACGTAGAAGTATTAGATTCGTTGATTTTTGATAACTTTTAATTGTACGCTTCAGCCTCTCCCTTTTTTTAAAAAAGGTAGGATGAGTGTAATTAGCAGTCAATTAATCAATCGACCAGCCTGATTAAACCCGGGAGGTACCTAGGACATGGTTAATGCACCGACTTTTTTTCAGGAAACACACATACTTTTGGGTGAAAAGTGCTGGGTCATATATTTATGCTACTTTGGATTGAGCAGTATTTCATTTAGATCTAGAAATATAGAGTTGTAGATATTTCGACGACGCGTTGTCAATTAATAAGGTTATATTCATTCTTATGTCGATACAATGTATCGCGTATGGATATTGAAATTCAAGATACCACAGAGTGTGACACATTTGATTTATATTTCGATATTTGACTTGAATTGATTGATTGATTGATTGTAGACTTTTTCAATCATACCGGGTATGTTTCACTCATATGGAGACGTTATTTGACTTGGAAAAGACGTTAATGGTAATCTAACAACCAAGTTTTATGATAAACGTATAACTTTGCAACCATCAACTTCCCACATTTATACAGAAATAAACATCCATCACCTGCAAACAAGGTTTATATCTCTCAGTTGATTCGATACACAAGAGCATGCTTTATGTATAAAAAATTTCTCAAACGAGGTAAATTTTTGACAAACAAGTTCATGAAACTAGAATGACTGCAGTCTCGTTTAAAGTCATCATTGCGTACGTTGTAAGTTTGGCCGGTATGATTTTTACCAAATACAGTAAATCATTAAGCCATTATTTCGTAAGTTCTATGGTCTATACAATGATGTTGTCAGTAAATACACTTAGTTATTGAGTCAATGATGACTGGTGTTTTTCATACTAATTGTTAGCTATTATTTATACACTGAATTGAAGACGAATGTTTCGTTATTTTCCGATCATGACAAGAGGCACACGGCGAATGTGACCGGTCGGCATGGGGTGCTCACTCCTCCATGACACCTGATCCCACCTCTGATGTTTCGGAGGTCTGTGATTGCTCTTCTCCTATATTGTATAGTTTATGGACGTTTTGATTTTTGAATACTGTTCGATATCTCCATAACTCTCCATAAATTTCATTCCATAGAGAACAACTAATAAATTCACGTTATAATGTAGTATGTCAACGAGTGGAAGCCACGTTCATTATGGTCATATTCAAATAGAGAATAGCAAAGTGTACAAATTCATTTGTCCATTTTAATCGCAATCTGAATGATGGTAATTTCTTCTAATAGCTGTTATAGCATGGGATGTGAAATTGAAATTGTTTTACATTGTCTAATCAAGAAGAAAAGTCAAACACAGATTTAGCTTCCCATATTTTGAATAATGATTTTCGCTTCGTGATATTTTGAAAGAAAAAAGTAAAAATAAAGAAATTCAGAGTACTAGATCTGAAGCAATATAATTAATAACAACAAATTTACAACAAATTTTGTACCTGACTTCCAATTCCACGTTTGTTCCTTTTACTACTGATATCTTTAAAATTAATTTTCCAAGTCATCTGGAAAATCTTCATGTCGTATTTCTTCTTTCTGAATATTTACAGACACGTTGTCAGGGTTTCATCCAACAAAACATAGTAAGGTCATTCTAACAAAGTATAATCAGAGGGGGAGGGGGTCTTGGGGGTCAAATTTAGAAAAGCTCAATTTACATTTGTTAAACGTTTAAGATTTGTCTAGTAAAATAGGGTTCCTTCTTTTAATCGACAATTCAATTCATTTATTCAAGTGCAGGTGAAAATGTATTGTTTATTATCCTAGTAAATGTGTTCTTTTCATTTGATACCAATAAAACATTTTTTATCAAAATGTAAAGAGCATTAAATATGCCATACTTTAACATTCAAGTTAATTACAAACCTGATATACAATACTGTAATGCTGACAGCGATGAGTAGGATGACGAACGCTACGAGGGTGATGATAATGTTTGTGGTCTGATCTAAATCAATATCAGTTCTTTTGGTTACATATTTTACATTTAATATCATTTCAAATCGTCTAATTACAAATCTAAAGTATGTTTATCGAAATAATATAATTAGAACATTTATAAAATGTCGAAATTTGTGGAGGAAATCAAGATAAGGTAAAATGATTTTTGTCACATGCATATAATTAAATTGTGAAGTGTGACGATAGCAGAGAGTGATAAATCTTATAACTCCAGAAAAGTAAACGAATAATAACTGGACAGATACAGGAAACATGCAAACATCGGGTTAGAATCAGGCGCCTGCCTAGAAGGGAAGATACTCGACTCATGATTAATTCTGTGTTTTTGCCTCGTTTGAAAATTATAATATCTTTTCTTCAAGTTAATTGATGTATTTCGAGTTGACATGTGAATGAATGCTCATATAATTATTTGATTGTTAAATTTGCAGAGAAAACTCTTTTCTCAGGAAAAAACTAAAACATGCATGCATCATATATCTAATTCAATAGCAGCAATTGCATTGCAACGTATGAAAAATACCGACAAGTTTTTTATTCATTTTATAAGGCTGTGTCTGTCTAGATAATAGCAGTTTTAAATATAATACCTTTGACCACAGGGGGGCAGAACTCATTGGAGAAACCACATGGTGGCGTACTTGGTGGTGCCTCTCCATCTTTGGTCAACCACAGAGTAGATTTATCTTGCCAAATACTTACAATCTAAAATGTAAAGTAGAATGAGATGCATGAATATCAAAACCAAACGTCTGGGGTCTTTTTAAATCGGGCTCAGAAATTCCCCTTTGCATGTTATTTACATAAATATTTTTGTAGTCATATGAAGCACAATTTGACAATTATGTAATAGATGAACGAAAAGAAACACTTGCTGTGACCTTCAATTCGAAAACATATTGTCAATGAAGTATCAGTCACATCATCCAGCGATGGAGTATCCGATGAGAAACCGATGCTTTTTTGATAAAAATGGCGTGGTTGCTAGTCGGACACTTATAGTAATTGGACGGTGAATGAGCCCTATTGGCGAATCGGTGGGGGTCATCGGTAGAAAATAAGTTGTAGTTAAAAATGAGTGATGTCTCCACCGATGCCTCACATCGCTCCTCACTGGCAACCCATCATTAACTCATCTTTCAAGGATTGGCCGATGTATGGAGATTGGCCGATGTATAGCCGAGCATCGTCAAGTATCTGTTGAATCTGAGGGCATCTGGGGGTTGAGTGGTGGGCAACAGACATCGATCGATCATCAGTCGATGTTCGACCAAATATTGACTCATAGTCGACCGACGTACAAACGATGTTCACCAATGTATGAGCGATGTAATATACATCGGCCGATTACCCTGGAACATCGTCTTATGATTAGCAATGCATCTCTGGGCCTTTGTAAGTTCGGCCGACAAACACGTCATTTTTATCACAAAACGCATTGGTTGCCCATCGTATACCCCATCGCTGGATAATGTGACTGATACTTAAGGACAACTAGGCCGATGTGGACCGATGTTGGGGCATCGCTCACACCAGGGATTACCACTGATTACCACCCGTCTATGGCCACCGGCCGGGAAATGTGACTAAACCCTCAGTCACATTTCCGAAAAGACCAACGGCCGACGGGTTTTGAAGCAAAAAGGGGATTCTTCGGGTGACAGTCGTCAGTTCATCGGCCGTTGTCTTGGCCGATTTTGTGCCCATCGGTCCAAGTTATAATTTTTTATGCATCGGTGGCCGATTCCTTCAATTGAATTCATCCATCGACCAACCTTCGATCATCGTCCGACCATCGGCGGTCAGTTTATAAAGTCAGTCGCCAATCGTTGGACAATAAGGGTGTTTAAAATTTCGGCCGACGCTTAAAATCAAACTGTAGCCCAGAACTCGATGATCGGATGACGATTGGCCGACTTGTGAATATTTAACCTAGTACGGATACATAAAAAAAAAATTTTTGATGCATGGATTGATATAAATTTTTTGAACGGAAATAACATGAATAATTAATCCGTAAGATATAAATTAATCTTAAGTATTCTTTGCTGCTTAGATATGCACCATTTGTCATTTTATGCAATTCCATACAAAATTTTGCACACATTTTCAACATTGAGTCAAATTTTATAAGATTCTGCCACTTTGCCTTGCAAACATTACTCACGTCACCTATCTAAATGTAGATATATGAAAAAATATTGCTGAATTCTAAAGAAGAAAGATTTTTTGTATTATTTTCTCAGTATCCAAGTCATTGGTGTCCCTAGGAATTATTGTGACTGCTCCGTGTCGCCCGATACTGTATCGGCCGATCATGTTCTTTCAGCAGCCAAGACCACAAAAATTTAGTCGCCCGACCATCGGCTTAAATGTGACCTAGGCATAAGGCATTAAAAATACTTATTTCCATTCTTATGTCGACATGATACATCCCGGTGAATTTCAGGTAAAATATTTTACACAGTCTTACACATCCGTTTCATATTTGAATATTTTGCTAGAAAAAGACGTCAATGGATATCTTAGAACATGGCTTAATAATAAACGTGATGATTTTAACGTTTTAATCGTCAACTTCTCTAATTCCTTAGTCACATTTCCCGGCCGATGGCCGTAGACCGGTGGTAATTGGTGCGAATTCGTGGTGTGAGCGATGCCCCAACTCGGTTTACTTCCGTCTAGTAGTCCTTAAAGTATCAGTCACATCAGTAGCGATAGGGTATACGATGGGCAACCAATGCGTTATTTTTATAAAAATGGCGTGCTTGCCGGCCGGATTTACAAAGGCCCAGCGATGCACTGCTAATCATAAAACGATGTTACAGGCTAATCGGCCGTTGTATATTACATCGCTCATACATTGGTGAAAACTGCTCGTACGTACGTCGGTCTACTATGGGCCAATATTTGGCCGAACAACGACCGATGTCTGTTGCCCATCACTCAATCCCCCGATGACCTCAGATTCAACAAACACTTGACGATGCTCGGCCATACATCGGCCAATCCTTGAAAGATGTGTTAATGATGGGTTGCCGATTAGGAGCAATGTGGGGCATCGGTGGAGACATCTCTGATTTTTAACGACATCTTATTTTCTACCAACGATCCCCACCGATTCGCCGAATGGCCTCAGTCACCATCCGATTAATATAGGTGTCCGGCCGGCAACCACGCCATTTTTATCAAAAGACGCATCGGATTCTCATCGTAAACCACATCGTTGGATAATGTGACTGGTACTTTACTAATGCAGTAATTTACCTTTGTTACTTGTATACGTATTTTTGTATATCTCTCAAATGATTTGATACGCAAAGCGATGTTCTACATATAAAGAACATCTCGTCCCTACAAATAAATCTACCTTGAAGCCAGTCTACGAATAAAATACCTCGGGGTCCGTCTCTACAAATAAACTACTAGTAACCTCGGAGCCAGTCTACTAATAAACCTACCTCGGAGGCAGTCTACTAATAATCCTACCTCAGAGCCAATCTAATAATAAACCTACCTCAGAGCCAGTCTAATAATAAGCTACCTCGGAGCCAGTCTACAAATAAATCACCTCGGAGGCAGTCTCTACAAATAGACTTACCTTGGAGCCTCTACTAATAGACATACCTCGGAGCCTGTTTCAACAATTGCAAATATCCTAGCCTCGTCGCTTTCGTTCTTCATATCCTCCACCCAGAACACAGGCTGTTTATCTCCATTACCGTCAAAATATATTTTACCACTAGTGCCTTGTCAAAAACAAAATGTGATTTCCATATAAAGATTTGAAACGAAAATGTTTTCTCGTCAATAGTTTAAAAAAATTTTAAGACTATTTTTTGATAAAGATTAGGTCTCGTATGATAAAATACAAGGACTAGAATCCGATCATCCATGAACGACTACCTGTATATTTACCATTATAAGTTACATTATTTGTGAACTGGAAAAACTTGGTTCCGTCCTTGTGGTCCAAATTGTTCTTGTAACAATGCTCCCACCAAAGTACAGCTAAATACATAGAGTCATGTAACGTTGAAGAAGATTGGGAAGGCTGCATAAAAAAAAATTTAAAAATAAAAGAGCTCTAAACAAAAATCATCGACAGAAATTAATGTAATTAAATATAAGAATATAATTCTACACTAAACCGAACTTCTAAGTGTTCACCTAACATTTTTACGTTTTAAAGAATAAATGCATACAATAAATGATTTCTTTCATTCATGGTTAATGATGCATATTTCAGTTCGATGTTGCGTAAATTTCATGTAAGTATCTCCTCAGAATTTTAAGCAATATGTCAAGGAAATGATGTACTTCAATGAAAATTCACACAAAATAATCTCTACGGAGTTACACCACCACTAGCTTTGATTACTGCAAGACATCCTTTACTTTTGGATACCATCTATCACTGAATAGGAGATTGACCGATCTGCTGCCACAGCTATTGCATAGATCTTTCCAAACCGTTGATATTATGTGGAGGGGGGGGGGGGGGGCTTTGACATTCCTTATGAAAATCCCAAATGTCCCAAATTGACAGTACATAAGGTCACAGAGGCCTTTTGGTCAATATTCTTAGACGTTTAGCACGTAAGTACACCGCTATTAGAATGATACAGACTGCTTGAGCTGATATTAGACTGCCACAAACGCCAATTTCTTATCATTTTCATACGATTGAAACTGTTCTTTTCATGTTTTTGAGATTGTTTCAGGACAATCTAACACTCTTTTTACCTGGTGTGACGCAAAACCTTGGCCACCAAGGTCACTTCCGGTTTGATTAAATTTTGTCCAAAGCTTTCAAGTTGTGATAAATTGTCGATGAAAATGACGCACAGCCTATAGAAAAATGTGTTTGAAAAGATTTTGATACTGGTTGTTAATTTTTAAAAGTAATATCAACGAAAATTAAAATAAAAGTGAGTAAAAGGTGGTGCAAGATTCCAATGGCTCTCCCTTCTTTCTGAATGATCATTTTTCTAATGCTTTGTGGTTTTTTTTTAACTTTTAATAATGATCACAAAATAATGCTTATTACACAAAACACGTGCCGCAAAGTATAGATTAATTGTTTATAAGCTTCGTAACGGAATATTGGTTTTCACGGTGATATTTGATTTTATTTCAACAATTTTTGAGAAGACTCATATGTTGTAGTAATTTGAAAATATCATATCATTCTATAAAGTAGTTTTTAAATAAATACATTTATTAGAGTGAACACTTAGAAGTTTTGTTAAGTGTATATTACGGATATATTTACAGATAATCCTTCATCAATCGCAGTAGAATCATTCCACGGAGGCTTTGCCATTCTCTGTGGAATCATTCTCAATAGTTCTAAGTGACGCTCCTTGCTGGCATCGTCAAACCATCGGGCTGCTGTCAACTGAAATCGTCGCATTTGTTGTATAAATATTCTGATATAAACTGAATTTTAAATTGCCCTCTTAAAATCTTGGTTATGGTTTCTGATTCTTCTTTCGACAAGTTTAAACCATAAACTTACGTGGATAACATGACGAAATGCATCACGTGATATAACGTCATCGGAGTCATTATTGTACCATGCTCTGTACTGGTATTGGTCGTCGTTTGCTTTGAAATTTGGATCAATAAAGACGTAGTCTCCGTTTGTCATGCCAGTGTAGTGAGCTCGTATCATTATTCGACGGAAATTGTTATTCCGTGCACACATAAACACAACTACAAAACAAATGTCTTGTTAAATTACCAGAATTATTTTCAATGATTAATTTATTTCAACCTGAAAGAGCCAAAGTGATAAATAATCTGAAAGAATTACGACAACGCTAGGTAAAAAAAAATATATATTATCTGAAACACTTTCTTAAACTGCTAAAAATAAATATTATATCTTTATTGTATTTTTTCGTACTTCTTGCTGTCTTTTTAATAACTTGTAGATATTTATCAATCTCGTTGTATGTCGGGTCCTCTGTAAACGTTTGGTAGGAAGCCACGGTAATCTTTTGTCCAGACACCTTTGATAGAAAACCATTCATCGCATGCAAGCAGAGAGCTGTCAAAAACAGTCCAGAGGATCAAAACGATTACTTGTAATGCGCTCTAATCTTAACATCCAATATAGTGACAGAAATTGTATTATAATGTATTGTTACCGTATGATGTCTGTATGAATATTGCAGTTACATTCCATTTGAATTCAGTGAATAGTGCTGCTGTGGCGAGTCCAACTTTATTAAACGTTGCAGATAGTCGCACAAAGGTCTTAAAAACGTTTTTATTCCCAAATGTCGGATCATTAGCCTCCCAACTAACATGTGGCATATTATAGTAAGGTGTCAAATAAGCAGGCCCAAGATTACCTACATATATATTTCAAAACAGATTATCTTTATAAACAAAACCAAGTTTAACTCCTTATTTTAAAAACAAAAGTTTAAGAAGAGTGGTTCTCTCTTTGGTTTTAGACGAGAGAAATTAATAAAAATATTTTCAGCAAAGGAATAATACTTATAGAAGAACTTAAGAGACCATTTTGGCTGTGTCTCCTTTGAAGATTTATTGTTCATCAGTGCCCCGTTTTACAAAAGAAGTGAAGACTAAGACCAAAAACTTAAGATTCTTTTTAAGTTTTGCAAAATTAATTATTCTCTTTGAAATTGCTCGTGTAAAAATATCCTACTACCGGGTACATTCCTTTTAAATTTGGTCTTAAGTCGTAAGTCCTTTTGTAAAACGGGCCCCAGATGCTTATTTGCAAATCATGTTCTCAGAAAAGTGTAATGAAATCAGAAACTAGTCATATCAAGAGGGAAAAGTGTTTCATGAAAAAGTCTTTGACGTCAGAGAGAATCTTACGTTTAGAGGACGGATGACCGAGGAGAAGATCGATTTTGTCTTCTGTGATCATGCGCACTACCTCCCCTGCTGATTGTGACATGTCGTTAACAAACACTGACGTCACGCTGAAACAAAACTTATCAGTCTTAAAATGAAAATAAAAAAAAATATTTAAAGGAGGAGAAAGTTTCATATTTCCTTCTTTTGTTTGTAAATAAATGATATAGATTGTTTTAAAAAGGTAGTTTGAAATCCATTGTTAATTTTCAAATACTTTAGGTTTTTTCTCATCCTTAATTCTATTGGTGCAAACTCATTTTATATTCTATAGATTATTCTTATCAAATAGAATGTGTGCATAAATTGATATTTGAAAATGTTTTAAAACAAATTAACAATACTTTTAAACAGGATATTAACACCTCTTACAATTATTTTGTTAAAACACATACTGATTGCACACACAAGTACTCTGAAGTTGACATCAGAAAGATGCTTGAGATTCTGATTGACAATATCTAGGTGGTTTTCGGAGACCAAATCTTCCAAAAATGTATTGGAATTCCCATGGGTACCAATTGCGCTCCGATATTAGCAGACCTATTTTTGTATTCATATGAAGCAGAATTTGTTAAAGAAAAATCTTATGCGTGAAAAGAAGAAAAGACTTGCTGTGGCCTTCAACTCGACATTTAAATATATAGACGATGTATTGTCAATTAACAGTTGTAATTTCCATTCTTATGTCAATACGATATATCCTGGTGAGCTTGAGATAAAAGATTCCACAGAGTCTGACACGTCTGTTGCATACTTGGATATTTTACTTTAAAAAGACGTTATTGGTAGTCTAACAACCAAGCTCTGTGATAAACGTGATGACATTACTTTTTTCTATCGTCAACTTCCTTTACTTATGCAGCAAAATACCTTCATCACCTACATACGGATTGTATTTATCTCAGTTGATTTGATACGAAAGAGCATGCTCTATGTATGAACAATTTCTACAATGAGATAAATTATTGACAAAGAAGTTGATGAAACAAGAATATCAGCAGTCTCGTTTAAAGTCATCATTTCATAAGTCCTATGGTCGATACAGTGACCTTGTCGGCAATTACGAATTTAACATTGAGTTACTGACGTTTTTTATACTTATTGTTAGTCAAATGCTGACTGACGTTTATCATACTTATTCTTAGTCCATTAATTATTCACTGAATTGACTACGGATTTTTCCATTATTTCCCGATCATGACAATGAGGTGTGACCGGTCAGCAGGGGATGCCCACTCCTCCATGGCACCTGATCTCACCTCTGAATTTTCAGAGGTCCGTGTTTGCTCTGCTCCTAATTTGTATTGTTTTATGGACTTTGATATTGCATACTATTCTTTATCTCCATATCCTTACCTTAAATAACAGAAACGCTACTTAGAAAAAAAATGTAAATGTAAAATACTCGAACAAACTAAAAGAATATGGAAAAAAATGTGTGTTGTCTTCAATTTTTTTTTCAGAACCTGATCCATGGAGTCAATTTAAGTTTTAAAGTATAAAAAAATCATCTGGGAAAATACACACCATATGCAACTGTTTGTGGAGTTATACGTGTATCATATAAATAGAGAAAAGTTACCCAAAAAAAACTCATTCAAACGTAGGAATTTTGAATTTTCATACTAAAAAATAATGCTTTTTATTAAACTTGAGGATTTTTTTTTAGTCGAATGGATTTGGAAGAAGGGTGTTAGAAATATTACAATTCCTTGTCACCATTTTCATACGTGCGCTCAGATTCCATAGTTATCAATCAAGATCTCTTGTGTATATCCTATTACTTCTCTTCAGACAGAGCTAAGTAGGCTTAAAGCTGTCCAATATAAAATTAAAATGTCATTTACTCTCTTTATTGAAATCAATTCTAGAAAAATTGAAATGTAAGTCATTACATGTAGATACGATATATTAAATGTGGTAGTCTCTCTAATAACTATGTTCTTTATTCCTAACCGTATCATTTAAACTTCAAATGTGCCTTAATTAAACGTGATGATCTTCAGCATCTTGATAAGACGAACAGAAAAGACATTCTTGATTGTGTTTAATGTTTGATTTCAGATTGATGTGAGGAATAATTGCAGCAGAATACATGGAGCCTCGACTAACATCAAAACTTATCATTATAAACCTTTAATACACGATGTCTCTTAATTTTGATTCATTACTGCCTTATGTAAATCAACAGTTAGTCTACATCATACTCCAATTAAACTTTGATCTGTCCCTTTAAAACTTTTAAATAGTCTTCTTGAAAAGGTGAAGGAATTTTTTTTTCATCGACACCAGAATATAGGCTCGGAACAGGCACGTAGCATCGTTTTTGAAAGGGGGGGGGCAGCCAGAGGAAAATTTTTTTACTTACCTGTAAAAGTTGGCAAACAAAAAAAAAAAGGGGGGGGGGATATTGCCCAAACTCAAAAATCCTATTTCATGGGGGGTAGTGGCCATTTTTTCATCACTCTAATTTTTTCATACCAACATTTCCTTGAATTTACTGTGGTACTCCGTTTTGAACATTTTCAATAGTAAAGGTAATGTACAAAAAAAGTACGTAGAAAATGCATGTTGCACTTTCACAAATTAATTTTATTCTTAATCCTTAGAAAAGCAATGAGATATAAAAATATTAATCCTATATTTAGAAAAGACATGTTCGAAAGCAGTACAAACACACATATATTGTCATGTATAAGTTGAGAGAATTGAACGCAACCGGTGAATTGTAAACATAAACAATAACAGAACTCGTGCCCTGTTTACAAAAACTGAGTACATAACACGAGTGTGCTCGATTTGCTAAACTCTGTACGCAACTCTGAGTTCGGAATGACGATACTTGTAAAGTAGTTTCGCTTTCTAATATTTCTACTCTGAATAAAATTACTTTTTCTGGATAAAAGTTTTAATATTTCTCATTAATACACAATGATGTTTTCTTAGAGTGTGTGAAAGTGCAGGGATCATTTATCAAACCCGCCAAAAAATTTGAAGTTTTAATAACTTTAAAATGAAATAAGATTTTTAATTAATTTTTGTGTGAAATGCTATTAAAATATATAACTCGTAATATTACAGAGAAAATATTGATTTCAAATTTGTGTCCAAGTACCTTAAAGACTACACCTTTTATTTCCTACAAATATGCAGCTTGAAAACTTTTTAATTGCAAAAAAAACTTTACATGGCCTTGATATCGAGTATCTGAAACATAATCCTCCATCGTGTTTATGTTCTTCTTCGCCCTATAACTATAGTACCGCTGGACACATTATTACAGGTGACGTAAATATAGTTAATAATGAGGACTTTAAATCACTTATTTTAAAAGGTCCTATATATATGGAACCCCGATCCTTCAACTGGTGTCGGAAGTTTATAAATGTAATGGATTCCGTTGCAGATTACGCCAGGCGATGGGTCAGATATGAAAAAGAAGACGTTCACACTTCGCCAGAATGGATTAAATGTATCAGATTCATGATAAAATCACGTATTAAAAGATTGAAGGGCTATATGAAAACCATTTATCCTTCTGTATTAAATAATCAAGAAGTGAACAAGAATTCAAATAGATTACATGATCAGTACGTACTGGTCCCTGCTGACAAAGCAAGTAACAACATTGTCTTTGTTTGTAAGGCTCATTATATAAATTCTATTTTAGAAGAACTTGGATTTAGTTCTACAAGTGGTAATCCAACTTATACTCATAGTTCCTTTTCTAAGGAGGAAATTCTTCAAAATCATATGTCATTTTTGAATAATTCTAATATTCTAAAGATCCAAAATGATTTTGAACTACCATATCTTTATTGGAATCTGAAATTTCATAAGAATACTTACAAACATAGATACATTGCGGGTTCTTGTTGAACCAAGCCTTTTTAACTAAGATATTAACATGAAGGAAAAACTTCAAGAGTACTGTCCAACAATATATTCAAGAAGTTGTGTAAACCAGATGTGGATACTTTTGGAACTTTTGGATAATTTGAAATCACAAGATTTTAGCAAAATCAACAACTTAAAAACTTACGACTTTTCAACTTTATACACAACCGTTCCTCACGATAAATGAAAATTCAGGCTTTTCGATATCATTGAAAGCTGCTTTTCCAATAAAAATGGAACTCTTAAATTTACTTACTTTGTCATTAAATTGGTCATTTGCAAAATTATTTCGTTAAAAATGTACAAACAAGTACTCTGAAGTTGACATCAAAAATTTTCTTGAGTTTCAGATTGACAATATCTATGTTATAATGAGACTAGGTCTTCCAACAATCTATTGGAATTCCCATGGGTACCAATTGTGCCAAGTTAGAGCAGACCTATTTTTGTATTCACATCAAGCAGAAACTGTGCAAAATCTAACGCGTAAAAGAAGGAAACACTTGCTGTGGCCTACAACTCGACATTTAGATATACTGACGATGTATTATCAATTAACAATTGTAATTTCCATTCTTATGTCGATACGAGATATTCTGGTGAGTTATTTCACGAGCATGACAAGGAACACACAGCGTGTGACTAGTCAACAGGGGATGCTCACTCCTCCATGGCACCTGATCACAGCTCTGATGTTTCAGAGGTCCGGGTTCGCTCAGCCTCTTTTCTGTATTGTTTAATGGACTCTTGAGTTGGAATACTGTTCATTTTCTCTACGTAATTCATATAAGAAAAAACGTTTTGCTTGAAACTTGATTTTAATATTCAGTTATGATAAAAGATAAAAAGAAATTCTGTTATTACTTGATAGTTCGCAGGTAATTATAAATCTATTCTTATTTCAGATGCCATAGATATAAATTTCAGAGAAGGTTTCATCCAAACATTGTCTAAATTTGTCAATGAAACAGATGGAGATAAAGAACAGTATTCAAGATCAAAAGCCCTTAAAACAATACAAAAAGGAGCAGAGTAAACACGGACCTCCAAAACATCAATGATGGGATCAGGTGCCATGGAGGAGTTGGCATCCCCTGCCGACCGGTCACACCCGCCGTGTGATCTTTGTCATGATCGGGAAATAACGGGAAAATTCGGCATCAATTCTGTGTATAAAAATGAACTTACAAGTATGAAAAACGCCAGTGAGCATTTGTCTTAATGAAAATAGTATTTCCTGATAAGGTCATTTTTTCGACCACAGAACTTACGAAATTATGTATTAAACGAGACTGTTGATATTCTTGTTTCATCATCTTATTTATCAATAATTTACCTCGTTTTGGAAATTGTACATACGTAGAACATGCTCCTGCGAATCGAAACAGCTGAGGAAAATATATTAATGTATAAGTGAGAGAAAATGACGATTGAAAAGTTAATGTCATCACGTTTATTTATATAGCTTGGTTGTTAGATTACCATTAACGTCTTTTCAAGTAAATATCAAAATATGAAACAGATGTGTCAGAGTGTGTGGTATCATTTATCTAAAGATCACCAAGAAATATCGTATCCACATAAAAATGGAAATAACCATTGTCAGTTGTGAATAGGTCGTGAATATACTGTAGATGTACTATTTTCGACGGGATCATAATTCCGCGGAATCTAAATTTCTATCTAATTAGCGGGAGGAAAATTACGCAGGTTTCTCAGACTGTCACAATATGGGCCTTACATTTATATTAAGTATGCTTGGACAAATTTCCTCGGAAAATATGTGACCGCGTACATACGAGTAGCGCAAATTAATACCACGTGGAAAAAGAACTTCTACAGTATCTTAATGTCGAGTTGAAGACGAAATAAAAAGTAAATTCATCATTTCAGGGATGAGATCAATAGCCTTCATTTCTTACGTATCCTTTACCGTTTTTAATCAGTAAACATTTAATTATGAATCAATATATAGTCTTTGTTATTGTGAATTCAATAAAAGATATCTGTGTATATTGGAAAAGCGTCGATGTCGAGTGGAAGTGTTTTTTCCTACGGATTATTGTGTGTATGGAACATAAATTTTCTATTTACATCTATGTAGCCTTTATATATATATGATTATGCATTTTTAAAATTCGAGGTCTTTTTGTTGTTTGTTTTTTTTTTTCTTCAAGAATATACCATTTAGTCAGGTTAGAAAATGAAAGAGCACTTTCATGCAGTAACCTTTCAAGACATTTCAGGTAATTGAATGGTTTAGATTCGTTAGGTGATTATTATTTAATTTTGTTTTGGTATGTTGAGTAATTTTTATTTTTGTTCTATGTCTCACTAAACATATCCTGTGTAAAAAGATCCAGCGTCCATTACGTAGCGTTAACAATGCAGTCCTGATTTGATGTACCGCAAAGTCGACAACGTTTAAAGAAGGTTATTTTAAATATCAATTGGGGAAATTATTTCTTCAGTTTTATGAATTATAATTCCGAATTTAGGATTTGGAAACAATATCCAAATTAGAATTGAAACGAATAATTAACAAAGAAATGAACGAAAAGATGAAAAAAAAAACTAATGTAAAAGAGATCTGCTGTGTTCAATTTGCAATGGTGAAAATATGATACCTGTATGCAGAATGTATTTTAAACCATGTACTGTATATTTCAACATTTTAATAGGTACTCTTACTGTTCAACTGTAAATGCTTGTATTTGTAGTTGAACTCCTGCAAAAATGATGGGTAAAATCGTGATAATATGAAAGAACTAGTGAACACTTTGATGGAGAATTTTGCGAATATCAAAAGAGAAACTTAAGAGATATCAGGATATTTGTTTTATTATATGGGAAAAAGATTATCTAGATTCGAAAATGTAATTGATAATTTGAATTAAATTAGACCCAGATATCAAATTTAAAATGGAAAAAAATCTACTCAACTACAATATTTAGGTGTATAAATCTGTAAGGAAAGGAACAAAATTTTCACAGGTATATTTTTATAACCGTACTGACAGACATCAGTATGAATTTTGCATCGGACACATACCTTGCATCGGACAACTGACAATAAATTCTCTTTCAACTTAAGAGTTCCGTGTATTTATTTGTTTCTGTCTACAAGCTGAAGATTTAATTTTTTTGATGATACCGATTGTTATCATCATGTAGTGACAAAAATACCCCGAAAATGGCCTTGAAGTTACGTCATATTTTACATCATCAAAGGGAGATAACCAGAAATTTATGATTTTGCGATTTTTAGAGTTATCGTTCTTAAAATTCGACTTCAACGGAACGAGTCAGACTTTGATGAATAAAGTCAAGGATTGGTAATTTTACCTAAATTTTTAAGAAACCTCACTTCATTGTTCGTATAATTTATTTTAGAGCTAGTTATCACTAGCATGTTCATTTCTCCGTACATCGGACACAAATTAACCATGCATCGGACACTTTCCGATGCCAAGGTAAGCACTACCATTTTCATACAGAACCCAGCTGATAGCTGTTTTTTGCGGAAAAAGAAAATAAAAACTCTATATTTTCAGTCAAAATACAAGTTATCGATAAATGACGTCTGGAATTTGACTCGATTTATTTCTACAAACCAGAGTATGATAAACCATGAAAAAAGGGCGCGAATTACCGCATTATAAGCATTTTAAAGCATTTCTAAGGCAGTGTAAGGTCTCTTGTATCGTTCTACATTTGTGCAACGATATCGTCAATTAAATTTAAGTTGAGGGATATTTCTTAGATAAAAGATAAAAATATATCCATATCAAGCATTTTAAAGCACTTTGATAAAGGTATGATATTTTTCCAGTCAAAAAACTGTCTGTCCGATGCATGGTGAACAATGTCCGATCCATGGTGAATTTTGAGTTATTCCTAAAAACTCGATTTTTGAGGATAATTTATCAATAAAGGGCATATAATTGTGTCCCAAATTAATATTTTAATCACAAACTTGTTGTTAAACTCCGTTTTGATAATTTTCCGTCGGTAGCGATATCGCTAGAACTTGTTGAAGTACAAGGGTATCCGATGCATGGTGAATTCACCCTATTTGTATTTCGTATCTTCCAAGTCAGACACATTAAAAGAGCAATAAAATACAACAGAAGCCGAGGAAAATTCAAAATATTCGGGGGGAGGAAACCAGAAATCAACATCTAGATGAATTAAAAATATATTTCACAGACGAATATAACCCCTTAAACTAAATTAAAAGGAAAGCATCAGAAAAGCAAAGAACTAAACAGACAGGAATTAATTAATCCAACTCCGAAAGACGGGTATGAAATTAAAATATGACCACTTGCCACAACTTACAATCATAGCAACCAAAATAGTACTCATATCGCTCAAAATCTGAACGAAACCCCCCAAACTGATGGAGAAATATCAAGTGTTTTTTTTCGAAATTTAAGTTTACTTACTGCAAAAAGCTAAAAATTTATATAGAATTCACTGCCTTTCCAAATTCTTTCAAAATCAACAATGAGGCACCTGCCCTCTTTTAAGACAAGGAACGTTATTTAGTTTCAGAGGATATGTTTATTTATTACTTCGGACATAATATGTCAGTTCAAAAAATGATATAACTTGCGGAGGATGCAACCAATTCTTTATCGGTGAAACGGGGATCACATTGAGAGCTAACATCCGGGTACATAAACAACATATTCAAGTTCTTGAGTACCGAAAGATCAAACTCAACGAACAAATTGATAGAAGCGGACAAGGAAAATTTGAAGTGTTTCCTTGCTATAAACTTTTTAGAGACAATATATAATTGAAAGAAGAGAAAAAGAAAAAAAATGAATCCAGTCTAAACAGTCTAAACATTTTGATTTCATTTGATTTCTGACCAAACTATCACACAGAGTATTACCTAGCTGTAGATAATGATATCTAAAGTATTCTAAAATAGTTTTGTTAGAAATTACAACAAGGGAAATGTGTTTTTGCAAAACGTCTGAAGAAAAATATGAAAGCGCTAATATTTTACCTAGTACGAGTATATTAAATTTAATAAATTTGAAACTTCACTGTCTGAAAGAAGCTTATATAGAGATAATGAACTGTGCATTCATCAATTTGACTACTCATTGCTTTGTTAGTCTTCAGAGGCATATCTTTTTAAAGATTTTACAAAACATTCCTTTGTAAAACTTTGGAACCCAATTGTCGCCCCAACCCTACTACCTAGTTATGATGAACTTAAATCTAATATACATATTTGCCCTATGTTTCAACATTTGTATTCAATCCTTTTTAAAAAGACCATTAAATTTTCATTATAATTTTTAATTGTCTACCTTGATAAAGGCTTTACTCTTCATTTAAACATTGAATCCCCTTTAACCAAGGATGTTTTATGGTGAATTTAGTTGAAATTGTTTAAAAGTGGTCCTTGAGGAGATATATTAAATATGAAAAAGTTTACAGAAGGAGAGACAGTCAGACGTACGGACAGACAAACGGACGACACGCAAATTATGATTAGAGAAGCTCCATTTACTTCAACTCAGGCGAGCTTAAAACCAATGAAATTTTATAAAATTTAATGAGAAGTTATGGTGTTCTTAATGAAATATATATATATTTGACTGGTGTTCTTAATGAAATATATACATTTGAGAGGGAAATCATCAAACCATACCTATAGAAAATTTATAAGCTGAAAATAAAAAAGAATAGGCTGATACTAAAATACCTTAAAAACTCGATACCAAATAACATGTGGTATGTTTTCTTTGAATCCTTGTTACTAATTCAAATTATACAATATACATGTACCGTATATTTTCTTTATACAGAAATATCAATAAAGTAGTAGGGAATAGACGGGCATTATCGTTACAGTTTAAATTTTAAGAAGGCATTCAATGTTATACATCATAATGTTGCATTAGAATGTATACGATTAACATTTTTCCCAAGATTAATAGTATCATCACAATTTTATAATTAATTTTTTTAACTAGTTTTCTTTATTCTAAAAAAAAATCTTACGTGAAGGTATGGTTCAGGAAATGTCCATCTTTTCTGGCGTTGTCTACTGCAATAGATATAGCACTCGCCTGAAGTTCATAACTCGCCCAATTCCTCTGTCCCCGCAACATCAAGAGTCCAAGATGAAAATTCTTACAAAAAGTTACATTTACAATCTCAAGAAATACAAAATACACAAGATAGCTGAACCAGAGAGTCATTGTTAGCGTATCGAGCGTCCGAATGTATCTACATTACATCACAAGTAGATAGTTTTAAATATAGGTAGATTCTAATGATTCCTTGATGATCAGGACTTTTTTTATCTTGTCTGTCTAAAATTCCAATAATTGATTCTTTATAACTCAGGTACAAACCGGACTTCAATGGTCGTCATCAGGGACAATAATTACAGCCTTCAGGATCGCAGCTGTATATTTTTAAGCTAATACTTGTCTCATTAGAATATCATTTATATTTAACATCAAAAGAAGGCATATAATGCAATTAGTGAGGCTTATTGATGCTTAGGGAATACTCATTTCATATACCTGAACGAACCTTGCTTTCAATAAGCTTTATGAAGTATTAATATTTCTTAACATTGCCCGAGCAAGATTTGTTAAGTGCCGCTACCTTTTAATTAAATAAAAACGATGGAAGTTAAACTGAAAAAGGATTTTACTTTTTTTTTTTATTTATATTCAAAATATTTGTTAACTGTTTTAAAAGAGTATAATCTTTAATACTCACCTTCGAGTTTCTTCATTCAATTTCTTTTTGAACAAAAAAGATCTACGATTACCGATTGTTTTTAAACTATTAATTTATGATCAATCTCTGTAATTGAAATTCGTTACTTAGATTTTATTGTTTTAAAGGTTTCCAGATTTTTCTGTTGATTCTAAATTAATGAGGGAAAATGTAAAATTTCAGTTTGTAATAAAGGAAATTGATTTATTTGTATCCTTATTTAAAGCCACTTTTAGAATATATCTGTATTTTCTAAATTCCGTCCCTTGCCAATGGAGAGCGTCAAATGTACTCGTCACTTTTTGTGCTGCGACGGATCTTTTTTCTTGCACTAGCCCTTCTTGCAACATTTGCTCTTGATTTACACATGATTTTAAGCAATCAAAATTTATGCTTAACACACTCCTTGAGCTTTAGTTTGTGTTTCTTTCTTTAGTTGCCCCTGAACTGTTCATAAAATGATTATAACCGTTCCATTGCTCTATATATTCAAGTAAATGAATAATTTTTTTCTTTTCTTAATTGAATGATTAATTAATAATCCTCGTGTACCATTTTTATTAAATAAAGAAATATATACAGACAGCAAACAGGATTGAAGCCCAAAAGTCCATTCAAAGAATTGTCTAATACACTTCAAGAGCTCTATAAAAGATCATATATGGAGGAGTGAGCATCCCCTCCCAACTAGTCACATCCGTTTCGAGCTCCTTGTCATGATCGGAAAATAACTGTGTGTACATAATGACCTAAAAATCAGTATGAAAACGTCACATAATGATACATTGTTTTTGCTGACGATGTCATTGTATCGACCATAGAACTTACGAAATGATCCATTTTAGCTGTTGATACAATATGATATTTTAGTTTCATCATCTTGTTTGGCAATGCATGATATCGTTGCAGCAGTAGTTTATATGTAGAGCATGATATTGCGTTTCCATCAGCTATGAGATATAAATAAATACATTTCCAGGGGATATGGGTACAATTAAAGTTGACGATTGAAAAAGTGAAGATCATCATAAAGATTATGTGTTATTCTTGATTAGACTAAATTTTGTTGCTACTTTCATCATATATCAAAATTCTAAGCATATAACTTAAGGCACTGGAAAAATCTTGTTTCCTTCACTCAAATTTGCATCTCTATATTTACTTCATATATTGTCATATTTGTTTTATTCCTGCAAAAAAGGCTATGCAGTACTTGCAGTATTTCTCTCTCGTAACGTATCATAAAAGAAAAAGAATTGATTTTCAGATATATACTACACTGTCTTCATTCTCTTCACACGAAAGAAATCATATAAATACAGCAATTTTAATTTCCTGGAAAGAGAGCGAAGAAAATAATGATAAAAACAGTAGTAGCTCCACGAAACAGGAGATTAACATATCCGGCGCTGTCTATTTCATGTCTCCAAGGCCCTTTGCATGCGTTTCGAAATCGAATCGTACGTGATCAATATAAATAAATCATCATAGCAATATTTAAAAAAGTATAGGGTTTGATCATTAGCAACGATATGGAATTCTGCTTTTAGTGAATATACAATGTCATGTAAACGGAGGATTTAACTGGGGAATGTTTTAATCCATATGTGGTTTCTTTATACATTCAAATGAAATGTATCAACCGTTATTATTTATTTGATTTTTTTTATTAATTTACCTTAGTCGATGAGTAAGAGGATATTTAAATTGGGCATTTTAAAAAATACAGATCAATTATTGCCACATGTGATTTGATGACCAAGCTAGAAAACAGTGATAGTCTAAAGAAATATTTTACATCATACAAAAATCTGTCGACTAGCCACTAGCCCCCCAAAAACACAGACTCCCAAAATTCCAGAAGTTGTATGGGGTGCCTAGAATGGGAAGGTAACACGTAACCTAAATATCTCAACTAAAACTGCAAAGTTAAATTATGTTAATAAGGAATAGAAACGCTCCTAATATTGGGTCCTCGGTGTTAGAAATATCCATCAGTTAGATACGGATCACGTGATATTGAAATGCCACAGGTGTCAATGGTCAAATAACACCCGTAAAGCTTTTCATAAGAAAAGATATATTGATTAATTTTTTTTTACATAAATGGACTACACAATATGGTCTAATGTCAAACGAAATGTTAACATCAACGGTATTTATTGATTAATTGATTGTATATTGTTTAACGTCCCTCTCGAGAATGTTTCACTCATATGGAGACGCCACCACTTGCCGGTGGAGAGCTGCAAATTTTGTCCTACACTCGGCACTCAGGGCCATTATGCAGGGGAGAGGTCTTTTTTGTGCCAGAATCTACTAGTGCTGCGGCACGGGACCTCGGTTTATATCGTCTCATTCGCAGGACCGGTCTCCACGTCCCAAATTGGGATTCAAACTCGCGACATAAGGATCAACTTTTTACTTCGCGACTCTAGAGAAGACGCTCTTACCACTGCGCCACGCGGGCGAAGTTCTGAACTGGTTATTGTTAAAAATTAAAAACGCTGTTTTTCCATATAAAAATTATTGAAGTGGAACATAATAAAGAAATTAATCCATAACTCATCAAGGTAGACTCACATATTAAAATTCAGCTCAAAATTTAGAGGTTATATTGATTGATTGATTGTATGTTGTTTAACGTCCTTTTAGAGAATTTTTCACTCATGTGGAAACGCCACCACTTGCCGGTGGAGAGCTACGAATTTTGTCCTATACTCGACACTCAGGACCATTGAGCAGGGAGGGATCTTTTTTGTTCCAGCACCTACTGCGACACGGGACCTCGGTTTATACGGCCTCATCCGAAGGACCGGTCTCCACGTCCCACAGTGGGATTCGAACCCACGACGTAGGGATTGCCTCCTTACTTCGCGACTCTAGAGCAGACGCTGTAACCACTGCGCCACGCGGGCGACTTTAGAGGTTAGAACGATATGGAGATATGGGATATGGATGTTCACTAACTCATGGCACCTGATCTCACCTCTGATGTTTTGCTCTGCTCCTGTTTTGTATTGTTTTATTGACTTTTGACCTTGAATACTGTTCGTTATCTCCATATGTTTCATCGACGATGCATTGTCAATTAGCAATGGTCATTTCATTCTTATATCGATTTGATATACCATGGTAAGCTTGAGATAAAGAATATCTCAGAGTTTGATACATCTGTTACATATTTCAATATCTTACTTGAAAAAGACGCTTATGGTAATCTAACAGCCAAGCTTTTTATAAACGTGATGCTTTAACTTTTAAATCTCTCCTAACTTATGCAGCATTATACTTTAATCACCTGCATTCGGAGTTTATTTATTTCAGTTGATTCGATACGCTTGAACATGCTCTACGTATGTACAATTTCTAAAACGAGGTAAATTATTGACAAATAAGTTGATGAAACAAGAATATCAGCAGCCTCGTTTGAAGTCATCATTTCGTAAGTTATATGGTCAATACAATGACCTTGTCCACAAATACAATTTATCATTGAGTCAAATGCTGGCTGACGTTTTTCATAAGATGTGTTTATTCATTATTTTCACACTGAAAAGACGATGGATTTTCCGTTATTTCCCGATCATGACAAGGAACACACGGCGGGTGTAATCGATCGGCAGGGGATGCTCAATCCTCCATGGCACCTGATCCCACCTCTGATGTGTCAGAGGTACGTGTTTGCTCTGCTCCTGTTATGTAGTACTAGTGTTCTAAGGACTTTTTAGCTTGAATACTGTTCGTTATCTGTATTTTTCCTTTCAAACTTATTTTTTCGTAAGCAATTTATATACTGAATTTTAATACATAATTTATCGGACTATTTAATTATTTTCTTGTACAAAGGTTTTAGAATAGAAGCCAAACATTTGATTTTTTCAATGTCATTCTAAAGTTTAACATTTAAATTGAAATAATATGAAACAGTTATGACACTCTCTCAGTCAAACAAGCTCAAGTTTGCATTGGCATGACGTTATTTTCCTCAATATGATCTTATATCAAAATATCAGAGAAGTGAAGATACATAATAAAATATGTGTGTCCTGGGAAGTCTAAAAGCCCCTGTAGAAGAGAAATCAGGTGTCCTTTAGCGAAAAAGGGAGGTGAGCATACGTTTTCAACCAGCCATACCCATCATTGCTGCTCCTCACCGACCAGATAAAACAGATAAAAAGAAATACATTTATGACGTAAACATAAGTACTTTAGCATAGATCTACTTTAGGTCAATATTTTTAATTACCTTTCTGATAATTAATTACTTTTCTTTATAAAGAAATAAAGAGATAATTTCTGGAATTTTACTAATTTTTTTTTTTTTTTTTTGGTAATAAAAATTCTAAAAAAACGAATTTCAAAATATTCTATGTATATAAAATAAATCATGGAATAA